AGCACACCGTATTTTTTGGTACAGGTATGGAGTTTTCAGCATGGATATCGGTAGCCCAAATTTTGCAGGCCGACCATTGATATCAGGTGTGTGTCGGCAGGGGATCAAACTCCGGACCATGTGCATGGTTGGCGAGAGTCCTAACCACTGTACCACCGACACAATATATGCATATGTCGTGGAGTTCGAGCTGTTATACCGCTGAGTTTCTCCTTAGCTGTTGTACAACCCTTAAATATATAACCTATGCTGCGTACAATCAAAATATACAATACAGATTGATGAAATGTACGAATTAGAATAAATGATGATACTCATATGTTGGGATAAATTTAAATGAATAAGTGTAAAGACTCTTCATTGGTTAGCCTAATAAGATTAATAGATAATTATCATGTTGCAAATAAAATAAATGTTGAGTAATAACACCTTTTACAACTGGTGAAGCTCTGTAGGTCTCAGATTCTGTGCAGCGCTTTAAAAAACACGATCGATCCCCTGCCGACGCACACCTGATATGAATGGTCGCCCTGCGAAATTTGGGCTACCGATATCACATTGAAATTCATACTTGTACCAAAAATACGGTGTGGAATCAAGCTGTAATAAAAAAAGTATCAGAATCATTTTCATTTTTATTCTTCTGTTTTTTGTGAATATGTTGCCAAGGTTAGAGGTAACAAGAGGATAGGAGCTTGTATATTTTCTCTTTTTCACCGAACGCATTGTCAGGCTATTTTGGTAGCTTGATGAACTCATCATTATATAGTAGATATGGTTTATTTACTCAGTTAAGTGACTTGTAGTCAATTGAATCACGTGTCTAATTCCTTTTTATTACTCGTACTGTGGTAGTACCATAGACTTTTAGGCAAACAGTGTAATTTGTATTTTGGTGCATAAACTTTTATATCGTTTGGTGATTTGCATTTAGTTAGCTCCTATAAGAATTCAGTGTGCCATATTTTAGTTATTGTTAATAAACTGTGCATTTCAAAGGCTTTACTGTTAAACATGTTCCCTACAGCACTACAGTTGTCATATACAAAAATAGTGATTTAATTTATATCCTATAAATTGATATCTTTTGACTTTTTGGTTAGTTTATGATCATGTGAGTTCTTATCTGAACTTGAGTATTTTAATTTGTCATCGAAACACTTTATATAAGATTTCCTTTTTGTATTTTTTTCTCAAATACATAGCTCACACCTATTGGCATGTTTGTATTTGATCTGCTTTTTTATTTCTTTACATTCCAAGTGGAACATAGGGCTTCAAGCTAGAGGCTTGAAGTTTCTGTAGCAGTGGTGTTTATTTTTACGGGATGGGTTACTAGCCTCATGCCCAACCTTCCCTCTTTGCCAGCCTTATTTATGGCTTAGCCAAGTAAAGGAGTTCGTCGGGGCCGAACCCCGGACCATGCGCATGGTTGGCGAGCGTACTAACCACTGTGCCACCGACGCACAGTTAAGTTATAATATTCATAGGGCATGCAATTAGAAAACACGAAATAATTTTCTCCCAAGTATACGGAATGTAACTACCTAATACCAGTTAATGGTAGTCAAGTTGCAAAAGAAAATAACACTGGTAGTTGATTCTGACGGGTGCTTGGGTTTACTAATCCAATCTGTAAGTATGGTATGTGCTTTGCACCGTCTAAGTGCAAAGTACTGTTACAAGATTGGCAAGAGCCTGTACCTACACTCACTCTTGCGGGTGAACCGCTTGAAGTTGTCGATAAGTTTGTGTACCTGGGTAGTTGTGTGAGTGCTGGCGGAGGGGTGACGGATGAGATTTCCAACCGTATAATGAAGGCTAGGGTGGCATACATCAACTTGAGCCACCTCTGGCGCCATCGCGACGTTAGCCTGGCTGTCAAAGGTCGGGTATACAATGCTTCGGTGCGGGCTGTCTTGCTCTACGCCTGTGAAACCTGGCCTCTCCGAGCTGAGGATGTGCGGCGACTCTGCGTGTTCGATCATCGCTGTCTCCGCAGGATTGCTTGCGTTCGATGGCATCATCGTGTGAGTAATTCTGAGGTTCGGCGGCGTGTGTTTGAACACAGTGGAGATCACCACTCATTGAGTGTCGTCATCTGGAAACACCGGCTCCGGTGGCTTGGACATGTGCTGCGAATGTCATCCCAGAGGCTTCCGTACAGGTCTCTGTTCGCTAGCCCTGGGACGGGATGGAAAAGGCGGAGGGGTGGTCAGTCCATGACGTGGCGTCGTGGGATGAAGGATTTTTGTGCTAGATTAGCATCGGTTGGTGCGTCACGACTCCCTGGTTGGGGTCCGCGAGATAGCTCGAATCGATGGCTCGAAACGTTATCGGATATGGCCAAGAATCGTAATCAATGGCGAACGTGTTGCAATTTCCTTCTTTCTTCCCTTCCTGATGATAGTTAACGAATACTGTTTGAACTTGTTAAACATGACTGTTTTCCTTCCAGATGAAGTTCTTTATCCGTTTTCTACTTATATTTTTACTTTTAATCTATGTTGTTTTATTATTATTGTGTGGCGCATCTTTCTTGGTGCCATATTGTACCAAGTTTTTTCTGCGTTTAAATAAATAAATAATAATCCAAATTGTAAACTTTTTGCAGAAGTGTGCCTCTGTTTAATAATCTGTTTTGGTCAGTCTAAAGGCATAAAGTGATGTTGTTTATTTCCCAGATACTATTATGTTTTCTTCATTAAATCAACTTCTCATCCCCCTGGAATTATGTCTCTTCAATCTAATTGTAAGCCTTCCAAAAAGTACTTTTTGTTGTGAGTAATTTCATTTTTACTAACCTTAAGCACATGATGTCTATTCTTTTGCAGACCTCTTCGGTGCTGAACTCGAAGGGAGAAGTGGAAGTATACAGGCTGGATTAAATTTAGAATTTCTCAATCTCTATCAACCAATAGTGGATATATTACCTGAAGGTCCTAATGGTCTATTGGCTAATTTAGATCTAACTAATACTGTTGTACGATTGGCTGAATCACATTCTATAGTAACACGAGTAAATCGTCAGGTAGGTTAATAGTGTTATGTGCATAAATCTTTTGTATTATGTTATAATTCAACTGAAAATTTGTAGCGTATGAGGCTGTGGTTCATCGGCCTAATTACTCGATGTTTAACCAATGAGTTCAGGCTTCTATTCCACCCCTACCTAGTTCACCTATATCCCCCCTCACATAGTAAGTATGGCTCATAGCCTGGAGTATGGGAAAATTGTTTCGGGTAACTAATTTCTGGCCGATCTGCGTTATCCTTGGTAGTACAGCTATGGAACAATGATTTCAGGCAAATTGTGCCTTTTTTCTGTGTTCAGGTTACCTAGACGGAGATGACAAGCGTCTATCACATTGATTTCAGCGGTATTCCCTAAAAATTCATTTATCACATCAAGAAAATCACATGATCAAGACAAGTTTCCTCCTCGAAAACGTCATGTTCTTATAAATATTTAATGGAATTATAGACATTTCAAAAGAAGTGGTCAAGTGTTCCCATTATTTCAAAAGAAAGTGGAAAAACTAATTTCCAACAAATGATATTTTCTTCTTTTTAAAAGCGGCGGCAATATAAATTTTAAGGAAGTTGAATGGTATTGTCATGAAGGAAGTTATTCAGCTTGAAGGTTGACCATTAGGTGACAACTTACACAACATTCAACTGTGGCAATGGTGGATCATTCTGCCAGTGAGTTGAATAACCATCATGAGGAACAAATCCAAATGTTAGTGTGGCGTGTACTAGTGACAAAAAATATCAGTAGTATAAGTAGATGAGGATTGATAAGAAGCAGCCAAAACTGAAAGCAACATTTTTAGTCAGTGGCTACATAAGTGGAGGTGTTTATTTCTCAAATCTGGATTTAGCTTACGTTGTGGTCAGAGAATAATCTCAAGGTTTAGCTTTTAAGAAATCGATAAGCAATCAGGACAGTTCATTATTCACTGACCACCTTTAGCCACCTTTAATGTGGCTAAAAATATGTAAATATGGTGTGTTTTTCCTTAGTAAAAAAGGTCCCTTACCAAGTCTCTTGTGTCCTCCCGTTACACTAGAAACAAACTATTATTAAAAGGACTAGACAACAAAAGAGAGTCAGTATAGAAATGATTCATAAAGCACATATTATATGACGTACCAAACGTCATCACTCTGATTCCTTCACTCTCGGAGTCTCTCATAGTCTTGAGAGTATATTCATACTTATTGAATTTCAAGTATTCTGCTCCAGTAAATGTTCACTCAATATTAGATGATCTACATAATGTGCCTAGTTGAGGAGTCAGCAGTTATCCGCGATTTAAATAATTTATCGTACCCATGAAGGCAATTTATACAGTCTGCTTACAAAGCGTATTTCTGCATAGTCGATAACTTATTGCTTAGAGTATGGGAAAAGACGTTAAACAAAAGACTAACTGTATGATACTAGTTAGTGTCCAGTCAAAGTATCTAATACAGTCCTACAGGAAGTCAATCGCGAACCCAGAAGCAAGATGAGGAAGGTGATGTGAGTAAGGGAGAGTGATGCTCAGGAAGGCTTCTTGTGCTTTTGGAAGTGTGTGGACGGTTGTTACTTCCCGGCTGCCCACACCGTGGAAGTTCATTGATTCTCCGGGAACCTGAAACAGAAAGAGTGTTGCGTGGCCGCAGAGCCCAGGGAACAACTGCTTGAGGCCGGTCACACGCGGCCTGTTTTTGTTTGTTCTTTTTTGTTTGGTGTGTCTCAGTAACATATTTATCACTTCTGCCCTGTGACACGGCAGCAGGAAGCGCGGTCGTTGTTAATCCGGGCTCCGACCAATCCGGCATGATACTTTGTGATTTACTTTGAGTCATAGCATTGGGTTGGGTAACTGCTTTTTGCCTAACCGCTATCCAAACAACGTTTCTGGCATGGTAGGACCTCAAGCGACATAAGTCTCAGCCAGTATAGCTTGTAGGGTCATGGCGGTGTTCAAGCCCGACCACCACGTCAAGGTAGTAGCTTTCGGTCGGGTCGCTAGCCCAAAATCTGATTGCAACGCTGGGCGGCAGAGGTTTGAATCTCAGAGGGGATATGAGTTCCTCCAAGATTGCAGATACTTCTTGCTGACTAGTGAATGCCAAGAAGCACAAAACGTAGGTCAAGCTGTGCTTCCTTCCGATGGTCTCTAATTATCCAGTAACAGTAATTTTGAGTGCACCGTGACGGAGAGCCACCTACTGGCATGGTGGCCACATTGCAAGCTTGACTGATAGAATTGACTCTGCAGCAAACAAAGGACTGGAGGCATGACACTAGTTTGTTCCCAATCAAATAACGTATCTAAATCAATGAACACCAATTTAATTGATTGTTTTTTCCTTAGATTTTCATTTCTGTCAGAAATAATTGATTCTTTATTATTGTTCACTTTAGCATCGTGCATTTTAACCTATTTTTTGGCTTAACTTTTATTTCACACCTACGCTTTTCCATTCTAACAAAATGGTGTATACTGCTGGTAGATATGCATAATTTACAACTGTTCACGTCAATCAATAGTACTTTAATAACCAAAATGGAGGTAATCTAAACGGAAGACGGCTGCTTCTCTCGTTTGTAGACGAACTACTGGTTGTTATGATTAGTTGGTTTGGTTAGAAACTCCTTTTCCTCGAACATATTTTTCATGTGCCAGGCTATTAGCCACAAATCGTGTGTTAAAAGGTTAATGCTACTTCCGTATTGTCAAGGCTGATATAGGGTGAGATATGGGCCTCCAAACTGGTCCCCAGTGGCTGAAAGTCGAGTGTTAAAAGTTAGTGATCCATGCATCCACTGATAAGTGATGTAGTTGATCTCCGACCATACATATTAATCAGTTGTCTGCACCACCGTCCTTTCTATTTTACCTGACTTCTTGACTGGAACAAGCTGGATTCAGGAAAGGCAAATCATGTGCTGATCAAATTGCAACTCTACGCATCATCATCACAGAACAAAGCATAGAATGGCAGTCAAACCTCTACCTCAACTTCATCGACTTCGAAAAGGCCTTCACCAGACAGTGTTGACCGAGAAGTAATTTGGAAACTACTTCAACACTACGGTGTACCTCAAGTCTTTGTCAACCTCATTCAACAGCTATATGACAACGCCACGTGTCAAGTTATCCACAACGGAAAACTCAGCGAGGCGTTCGAAGTGTATACAGGAGTAGGACAAGGCTGCCTATTATCACCGATGATATTCTTAATTGTGGTGGACTGGATTATGCGTCAGACTGTTGGGGGCGAGGAGTCGGGAATACGCTGGACGACTGATAAGAAGACTCTGGAAGATTTGGATTTGGCGAATGATGTTTGTCTAATGTCACACAAAATCGAAGACTTGCAAGCGAAAACCAACAAACTGGCTGAAGAGGCAGCGAAAAAAGGACTCAAGTTGAACACAGAGAAGACAGTGGTGAAGATAACCAACCAACAGCAACAACATCCAGCACGAATCACCACCAACGGGAGAGATTTAACAGAGGTTACCTCCTTCACTTATCTAAGCAGCCAGCGTCGCTTCAACTACAGGCGGGATGGATGAAGATGTCAAAGTCAGTCAGAATTTGAAAGGCAAGGTACACCTTCACCAACCTGAAATCTATTTGGAAATCTTCTGCAATCAGCATAAGGAACAAGATTCGGATTTTCAACACTAATGTCAAGTTTGTCCTTCGATACGGGTCAGAAACTTAGTGTGTAACGAAAAGGATTTTCAACAAATTGCAGACTTCTATCAACAACTGCCCGCTTCGCTGGCTCCATACTGAAGATCAAATGGCTGATCAGAAAGAATTAGCAGCAAGAAACTCTGGCAGTGAACAAACCAACCAACAGCCGATCGCTCAACAAATATGCAGGACAAAGTGGAGATGGATAGGGCATACATTGAGGAGGCCGCCGAATGACATCGCACGCCAGACCATCGCTCGAGTGGAATCCCATTGGGAAGCGACGAGTGGGTCGTCAGTGAGAGGGTGACATGGAGGAGATCGTGTAGCAAGGAAGAGATGAAAGAGTTTGGTCAATCGTGTACCTAGCTAGTTGAAGAAGACGGCAGAAAACAGATCAAAGTGCAGATCTGATGTTGCAACCCTATGTCCCACTCGGAACGCAAGAGAATAATAAAAAAATTTCTTTCTTCCTAACAACTTTTATGTTTTTAGTTCTGAAATAGGAGATGCCTTTTGAAGAAGAATACTACTATTTCTCTTTTTTTTCTTTTGGTATTTTGTTAGCTAATTAGGCTCTTATGATGAAATGTAGCTGTTTGGTACATTCTAACCTAATACACTTAATCTATTTCCCAAAGAATATTGATGAGTCTTTATAAGTTCTTACATACGGTTCAGTGGTTGGTGGTCTGGTTAAATCACTGGGCTACTACCAGAGTTTCCATTCATCAAAGTGCTGATTGTTTTAATCATGATCACTGGATAAACTCTCGGACACACACATTTAGTTAGCTTTCAGAAAAACACTGTGGAATTCTTGAAGGAAATGAGGAGAAAATACACGGAATTAGTTTTTTTTTTCATGTGCATCAACACACTACGTCACATGGTATACTTGTGATTGTTACTTTACTTGTAAATCCTGCATGAAGACGATATATTTTGGAACTAAATACTCTAAGAATTTCTGTACTGTGTTCACATATGATCTAAAATAAAGCTTTACTATTATAGATTGTACGTGATATGCAGGTAATATTAGTTTTGCTTTGATTGCACACTAGTGACTACTGTGATGTGTCTAGTCCTTTTTTGGTGTAGACTGAATTCAATCAGTCAGGTTTGCAATGTGGCCCCCATTCTAGATAGCTCGCCATCACGGTGCACATTGATTTGATGATATTAGTGTTACTTTGACATGGCACTAGTTAGTGTCCAATCAAATATCTAACACAGTCCTACAGGAAGTCAATCGTGAGCCCAAAATCTCTGACTGTGACACTGGGCGACACAGGTTCGAATCTCAGAGGAAATATGAGTTCCA